TGCTGCACATCCACGGGCAAATGGAGCCACCCCCAGGGACGGCTTCTCCAGAGCATCCCTCCTCCTCCCTTAGCTACAGAAAGGCGATCACGGGGCAGAGCCCTCAAAATAGCTGCCCCGATACAGCCCTTACTGGTGCCTTCATCCTTCGATGAAGGCTGCTGCATGCAGGAGGGAATTACCACGCAGCCAAGCTCTGTGGTTTTTGTTTTGTTTTGCTGCCTGCAAATCCGCAGCAAACACTCGAGATTTTTTCCATTCCATCAGTCATGAGAAGCCTGGATTGATTTTCAGCCCATTATTGGCCTCCTACCTCCTTGGGATCAAAATTGAATGGTCTGAATGGAAAAAAAGGAAGACGAAAACAAAGCAAAACAAATCTCTCTCTGGCTGCAGTCACTTAATTCCTCACAACAATGAAGGTGCAGGATGGAGGACAAATGCAGTCAGATGACAGCGCTGGAGGCGCTGGCAGCAGAAGGGCGGCAGGGACCAGGACCATGGGTCGGCCCCAGCTCCCTCCTGCCTGCCAAACCCAGATGAAAAACCCAGTATTTGATTTCCGCCCCCCCGCAGGGGGCACAGACCTCGCGGTGACCCTTCTGAGACCACGCACGCTCAGCACTGCAGTGCGCTTCACCTGCCCTGGGAAGGGACCGCTGTGCGGGGCTGCTCAGCCCCCTCCTCATCGTCCCTCCCTGCGGGATCCGCAGCCCCCTCCCGCTGCAGAGGAGGCCAGCAGAGCCCTGTGAGATGAATTAGGACCTTCCCCGGGCTTCACGGGGCACAGCCTGGGCTTCAGCCCTTGGATGTAATGAGTTTTCAATGACCCCAGCTGCGCTGGTGGAGGTGGGAACACAGGGACGAAGCTGCCGCGGTCTTACCTTGTTCTCTCCCTCGGGAGCGAGAGGGTCCGTCATCCACGATCCGAACCTGGACCCCGAGGTCTTAATTGTGATTGGGTCACTTATTCCCGTCAGCTTGCCACAAGCTGAAAGAGAGTGCAAGGCTGGTGAGCAGCACGTCAGACCACCGCCACGGCCCGTTCGGCGGTGGGTGTCTGCCAGCCAGCGCCGAGCCCCCGATGAGGGGCACCACCACCCACACCGCCCTGCCCACCGCTCTCCCCTGCTGATGGGCAGCTCTGGTTTTATTTAATTAGAGGTAATTAGGCTGAGAACAACTGTCGGATGCTTTTGCTTGTTTCATGCCTCTTATTAACGATTGTCCTTATCACACTGCCCCAAGAAAACAAGCTTTCCTGAACCAGCCACACTGCTAACGTCACAGAATAGAAAATGAGGAGAGTTAGCCGGGGTCAAGCGGCCAGGTGGAGAAATTAGCTGAATAGCTCTGCTCAGTTCTGCTCTAATCGAGTGGGTGCAGCCGAGATAAAAAGACAGAGGTATCTATTCCAGCCCTGCTGGAAACATGCACTTGTTACAGGTTATGCAAAGGAGAAGAAAAAAAAAGGTGGGAAATTATTTGCAATATAAATCTCTTCCCTGCAAAAACTATCTACCAGCTTCTACCAGCCACCTTGTCTGTTGCCCGTCATGTCTGCACACTCAGGAGACAGTAATGAATTCCCCAGCCTCTCCCGTCTCCTCCACCCGCCGGGGCTTCGCCAGCGCCGGGAGCGGAGCCCGAACGCAGCAGGATGGAAGGCAGGAGGTGGGGGGGTCCCTCGGGTGCTGCCCCAGGAATCCTGCCCAGACTCAGCATCACCGCAACAGCGATGTGCACCCACGCGGCGCTACACACCAGGTTTTGAAACATATTTAGGTGCTCCACACCGTTGATTTCACGCCATTGAATTCACCGGGCATGTCAGCACATGTGCAAGCCCAGCTAAGTGCCTGGCTGTGTTTTTAAGCCCTAAACAGGAGGTGAAGCAGTGCCGACTCTCCCCCCAACTCACTGCGCCGGCAGCTTGTTCCTCTTCCGTGGTTCTGTCCCCTGACACTGAACTCAGCACCCCGCCAGCGATGCCCGGGAATAGGTGCCTGCAAGACTACAACCTCAGTGCCGAAGGCGCAGCCACACGCCGAGTTCCCGCTTCCAACAACATCCCCAAGTTTCAGCAAAGCTGCCGTTCGGTCTCCTGCAACCCCAGCATTTCAGCACCTGTGCACTAAGGAACGAGAGGGGAGGAGGTGAAGATGTGGCGGGGGTGCGGGGGGCTGGTGCTGGATGCTCTGTCGCTACGGGAGCACTCACTTAAAACCCGGACACGTTCAGCGCAGAGCCGGTCCTGCAGCAGCTTCTCCTGAGCCGGGCAAGCTGAGGTCAGCGGCACCAGCGGGACAGCCGCAACCTGAAGTTCAGAAGGTGTTTCCTGACGTCTCCTTTTTGACGTGGGTTTGCAGGCTGAGCTGCAGCTGCACTGAGGGCACCCGGGGCCGAGGCCACCGGTGGGAGCCCGTGGAGGTGCTGCTGAAAGATGTGTGGAGCTCTGCCAGCTCAGGACAAGGCCCTTCTGCTCAAAATTGCCAAGTAGAATCACAGAACGGTTTGGGTTGGAAGGGACCTCTAAGGGCCACGTAGTCCAACCCCCTGCAGTGCGCAGGGACGTCTTCAACTAGAGCAGGTTGCTCAGAGCCCCGTCCAACCTGACCTTGAACGTCTCCGGTACGTGCATTCTGCAACACCTCCTCGCTGCCTGTTCTCACGGGCCACAGCCACCGCCCTCAGCTCTGCGCTGCG